TTTGAACCTTGTGGTTTTCCTTGACCCTTTTTTCGTAGCTTGAACCTTCTAGCGTTTCTTAAAACTTATTTGGAGATTTCACTGAAGCTTTCTTGAAATTTCTTGAAGCCTGGCAGAAAATCCTATCACGCTATCCATCACATTTCATTTTTTTTTTTTTTTTTTTTTTTTTTTTTTTTTTGGAAATTCATTTTTATTATATTCTTGGGAAAGTAATACACCTAAAAGTGACATATATCACCTGGGAAAGGTAAGGGTTGGGCGCAATCTGGTCTGATTCTAAGGCGACTCCTTTATTGCTGGGCATCCAGCTGTTGGAGTGTTCCTCTTGATATTGCTACCCTCATCTTGTCTGCTAATGGACTGCTGCAGAAAACCATGGTACCTGAACCTATCTTCCGATGTACTGTTGCAAATACACCTGTGTTCAGTGAGGATAGGTGTGGCATGGCTAGGTGCAACACCCATGCGAATGATGTAAGGGGTCGTGGCTATGTTCTCCATCATTGATCCATCCTGGTACGATTGTTCGTAGCTGTTAGTGGAAACTGGTCGGGTTGGGAAAGCCTGATAAAGTATCTCAGAGCCTGGCACTGTTAGTGAACTTTGAGTTCTGAGCCCCAAGATTATGACTGAGGTGTTCAGGGAGAATGACTGCTACTGCGAATTTACTGGACGACACGCATGAAGACAGCAGTGCGAGGATTGTCTGTGATGCCTTGCAGACACCAGTGTCTTCTAGCCTGACTAGCACTGTAGCTTGGTCTATGCTGACATCAGTGCCACCTATTCTGACACTGTAGTTTGGTCCTTGGTGACACCATTGTCTCCTAGTTTGACACTCTAGTTCCTTGCTGACACCAGTAACTTCTAGTCTGACACTGTAACATGGTCGCACTGTCTGTCTTTTCGAGTAAAGTTGAGTCACAAGGTTACATCAGTGTTGCAGTGGCTACCTTCACAAGGTTACATCAGTGTTGCAGTAGCTACCTTCACAAGGTTACATCAGTGTTGCAGTAGCTACCTTCACAAGGTTACATCAGTGTTGCAGTGGCTGCACTTTGTGAATATTGACTTTAGAAGACCGCCGCATTGACTGATTGTCATATAAGAGTGTACATCTTAGGAAATATGTTAGTGTGGGCAAACTTGGGTACTTTGTGAGCCTGGGACTACATCACATATTAGTCCTTCTATCCTTAAACCATTCAGTTTGTCCTCGATATAAGCGTCAATAACAATGTGTATTTATGTCTACATACACACTGAGGACACTGGAGGACAGGAGAGATAGGGAAGATATGATCGCGACATATAAAGTACTGAGAGGAATCGACAAAGTGGACAGACAGGATGTTCCAGAGATGGGACACAGCAACAAGTGGTCACAGTTGGAAGTTGAAGACTCAGATGAATCACAGGGATGTTAGGAAGTATTTCTTCATTCAGAGCTGTCAGGAAGTGGAATCGTCAGGGAAGTGATGTAGTGGAGTGGAGAAGAGGTATGATAAAGTTCATGGAGAAGGAAGTGTGACCTAGTAGGGACCAGTGAAGAGGCGGGGCCAGGAGCTGAGACTCGACCCCTGCAACCACAACTAGGCGAGTACACACACACACACACACACGTGCCAACATGTCTTCAAACTTGCATTATCAAAACACTAAATAATTAACTGGTACATTTTGTATTCTGGACAAATTAATTCGTATTTATGTAGCTTATTAAATTTGTGCAGAGAGAATCTAATTTTTTCACGTGATTGTATTAATTTGCCGAGGAATTCTTGCCTGTGTCTCTCAAGGGAGTGAATGTGTCTCTGTCATGCAACCTTTGTGCACCTTTGTGTGGTGGTGTATGTTTGCGCTTGTTGGGTGTTGTGCCTGTATTGTGTTTTGTGTGGGTTGTGTGCGTTTTTTGTATTTATATAGGAATGGGTTTTTGTAAGTGTAGTGCTGTGAGTTGAGTTTGTGTACGTATTATTGTGGTGGGATGTCAGTTTGTAGGTCTGGTAGTGTGTGTGCGTGTGTGTGTGTGTGTGTGTGTGTGTGTGTGTGTGTGTGTGTGTGTGTGTGTGTGTTGTGGTGGTAGTGTGTGTGCGTGCAAAAGTGTGTTATAGTGGTAGTGTGCCTGCGTGCAAGTGTGTGTATATGTGTGTGTGTGTGTGTGTGTGTGTGTGTGTGTGATTACTTCTTTGTAATTACTTGTAACTGCAGGAGCAATTTTTATCATATAATTCTTTAAAATTTCCAATAACTGTAGCACTTGCTACTTCCTCTCATAACTTATCGCTTTATCACACTATTCGCAAAACAATTCATACATCCTTTCAGCTCCTGTATTTTTTCCTCATGTCACAACTGTGGTCTTTCTATCCCTGTTTCAGGTAACAGGAAGTCTTTTGTTTTCACCTCTACTTTTATGTCGTCTTATATTCTTATATACAGTTATCCTACTTAATCCCTTCCTACGGCCCTCAGCATGGGCATCCTTACGCTGAACGAACGACCCGAACATAGGAGTGAGAAGCTTATGATGTGTTACATGTAAATGGTCATTAGCTATTTTCTCCTATGTGCGGGTTGTTCATGTATTGTTCCAGTCACGGTGGGTTGTTCATGTATTGTTCCAGTCACGGTATCGTGCTTTTTTTTTTTTATCTTTTGGGGCGTCCTTAATGTTAGTCTTTCGTCAACACTCGTGTTTTTTCACATATGACAGCCATTTTGTAGCTCTTTATTAATTTTCTAGGCTGTCTACTATGCTTTTAGGTATGGTCATCACATATTTGCTGCATATTTCAGTACTAGTTTAACATATATTGGAAATAGTTTTTTTTATTAATTCTCCGTCCATATATTTCATAGCTGTTTCGTAGTTTTATGAGTTCTTGCAGTTTCATTTAAACCATATGTCGGAGATATATTTTTTTGGCTGATGGAAAGCAGTAGATCCCCCCTGATACTTTTAGTATTTTGACTCAGTACGTTTATGTGGACTGATGTCTCTTACACTTCCTTTACATACTTGTTTTTTTAACACGCTGGCCATCTCCCACCTAGGCAGGGTGACCCGAAAAAGAATCCCTTTCACCATTATTCACACTACCACTGTCTTGCCAGAGCCGCGTGGATACGACAGTTTAGATATTACTGTAAACAGTAAATATTCCAAACCCGTCCTTTAGCGTACAGACTCTGTACTTCCCACCTCATTAAATTTCTCCATTTATATATCACTGTTCAGTATATATCACCCATAAGTATTTTCATATAGTTTTATATTTCTTCAAGTTAGTCGTATATTAAGATTAAAAACAATGTCGGTGCAAGAACAGATCCTTGAGGCGTCCCACTTGTGACGTGTCCCCATCACATTTTTGTCTCTAATAACTGAATTTTATGACTCCTGTGTTTTGCAGTTTCCAAATTTTTGGGGAAACTGTTCAAAAACTTTCCTAAAGTCTTAAGTAAATACAATCTGTTAATGCATTTCATTCATGCATAATTTTCTTGACTCCGTCGTAATTGTTTAATAGATTTTTACATTCGTAAATGTGCGGACCGGAAACCGAATTGTTTGCTACTTAGTAAATTTTTATTCTCCAAATATTTCATCCTCTTTCTTCTATTTAATCTTCTTCCTGTCTATTTAATACGCTTATTTCTTCCTCAACTTCAGTGAATTTTTGTTTTCCCTTATTTTTTCGTATTTTTTCTTCAACATTTCGTACGCTTTTCACGAACCTGAGTGAAAGATTTCGTTCGGCCTTGTTCTTATTCGCTATTTACTCTCCGAAGTTTTATCCTCCTTCTTTATGTTAGTTCATTCATTTCTACAGCAGTTGGATATATTTATTGCTGAATCGTTTCGCCTACACAGGCTTCTTCAGTCAAATAGAGGCAGCACGTGTAGTAGTGAAATGAAGATAATGTAATCAGTCCCTCAACCTTGGAAAAATGAGATTTGATATGGTCAGTCCCTCAGCCTGGAGAAAAGTTCTGGAACGATATCGTTCCAGACCATGGAGCTGAGCTCTTCTCCTGACTGATCACGTAACTACTCTTTCTCCAAGGTTGGTGAACTTAATACATCATCTTCATTTCACTACTACACCTGCTGCCTCTGTATTTGACTAAAGAAGCCTACTGTGTAGGCGAAACGTTTCAACAATAAAGGTACTCAGCTGTTGCACATGTCTCTCTAGTAAGCTTCTTTGACTGGCTTATTTCTATACTGGTTCCAAGACCTTTCCATTTCACAGCTCTTCAGCACCATCCATTCTAATTTTATTTTCTCCATATTCCTTTTTGGTATAAACGGCTTAACAACGCTTTCATTTATATTACAGAAAACTCTGTGAATATTATCTTATGCAGTATCATAGGACATGTAATTTCTCTAAAATATTATGTTAGAGCATCACATTTTTCCTTTGAAATCTAGTTCTGATTTAGTGGAAAGGTAAACGTGTATCCTGATTGGCTGTTAAGGCTCCTGTGTCTTGCAGCTCTCAGCCTATAAGCGCACTTGTTGCTGCCAGCAGAGTAAATTTGCTTTGTATAATAATTTCGGCAGCCTATACTGGTGAATAAGACACACTGAATGAAATATTCAGAGAGAGACTTCATAATTCATTATTTATACTCTCTCTCCCTCTGTCTCGCTCTGTCTCTCTCTGTGTCTCTCTCTCTCTCTCTCTCTCTCTCTCTCTCTCTCTCTCTCATTGCAGCACATTAAAATAATACACCTTATGATGCTGGGGAAGTTACTGCTGCCATCTGTTTCGTCATATTTAAGTGTGAGAGGCCAGACAATATTTCTTTTAAGTCTTATATGAGTTAGTTAAGATTGTGTGTGTGTGTGTGTGTGTGTGTGTGTACTCACCTAGTTGTGGTTGCAGGGGTCGATTCATAGCTCCTGGCCCCGCTTCTTCACTGGTCGGTACTGGGTGCGCGTGTGTGTGTGAGACTAACTGTTGTTTTAATCTTGTTATTGTAGA